GCCTCTGCCTCTGCCCCTGCCTCTGCCTCTGCCCCTGCCCCTGCCTCTGCCTCTGCCCCTGTAGGAGGCGTTTACCTCTCTCTCCTGTTGTCCTGTTTCTCTGAAACCCTCCTCACACACTCCTTTCAGAACCCCATCTGAGACTAGTGGCGAAGAAAGGCTTGTCCTGCATTTCATTCCCTTGTCAGAGAAAATAGCCAGTCAGCCCCACCTTTTCTGGGCTCTGGTAATGAAAACACAATCCCAGAGGCCCAGGAACGGACAGGAGTCTGGTGCACGGCTGTCCCGGGGCTACAAGGGGGCAGGTGCAGGCCTGGGGTGAGCGGTGAGCACGCACCTGGCCCCGCCTCTGGGCTGCCCTCTGTGCCCCTGATGGCGCTTCCCCACCCGGCTGACGGGGACAGAGCAGGCAGAGGGGGAAACGGGAAATACATTTTGGAAAATGGACAAAGGATTCTGAATGTATTGACTGATGTGCTAAGGGTCTCGCTGATGTATGACTGACTTCCTCATGCGCTTTGAGCAGCCTGAAAATCTTTATTTTGCAATAAAGGTGGAAAAAATACAACAGTTCTTTACAAATCAAGGATGATATTATTTAAAAAAAAAACAAACTTTCCATCCCATGGTTTTAGATTCACAGAATGTAGGCCGTGTGCGGAGGGAGTCGGCGCACACCGCCCCGCTCGCCCTGTTAGAACACCTGTGAGCCCGGCTGCATTTGTGACGATTACTGAGCCAAGTGGACACGCTGTTACTGACTGAAGTCTCCACTGTACGCAGATTTCCTTAGGTTTTACCGCTGCCCTTTCCTGCCCAGGAGGACCCCACAGACACCAGTGTCTCCTTAGCGCTCCTGCTGTGCCGGTTTCTCAGACGGCCCTGTGTGGGTGACCTTGACCGTGTGAGGACGGGCAGGGATTCTGTGGGAGGCCCCTCCGCTGGGTTTGTCCGGGGCTCCTCCCGTGGACACAGGAGGTCTGTGGAGTCAGGTTCGTGTTGCCCGCACGTCTGACCCTCCTCACGCGTGGGACGTGGCAGAAGGTAAGGGAACAGGCGGGGCCGTGAGCTGCCAGCAGGGAGCAGGGGGCTGGGACATTCGGGAACCAAAGGGCTCTGTCTCACCTTTGCCCCCCGACCTGACAGCTCCCACCGGGCTGCCTCGTGGGGACATGGAAAACGTGTTTCTGAAATGAATAAGGTCCCGGCAGACACACAGGCAGAGGCTTCTGGGTCAGAAGGTCCCAGGTTCGGCGTGGGGCCAGGTTAAGCTCCAGCCCCGGATGGAAACCCGCGGCCCAGGCGCCCTGCGGGGCTGCTGTGGACGCGCCTCTGCCACACGCAGCCCCTACGTCCTGGGTGACTTGCAAGCAGTCGGTAGCCGATTCAAGCAAGACCGCCTTTAACAATGTTCCTTTTTCCTCAAGGAAAATGACTGTTCTTTTTTAAATAAGTCTTTATTGTTAAAAGTATTACATATGTGCCTTTTCTCCCCTTGCCCCCCCCCCCAAACCTTCATACCCACCGTCTGTGTCTGTGGGTTATGCACACGCGAGAGGCTCAGGCGAAAGCCAGAGCCCAGGGCACGCAGAGGGGCCCTCAGGCTCCTGGCGGTCCTGGAGGGGGAGCCTTTGGAAGAGCGACTCGCCCGGCCAGCCTGGCCCACAGCCCGCGGAGAGGAGGCAGGTGGCGCCCATCTTCCCTGATGAGCTTCACCTCCTCACCCAGGAAGCGGTTAGGCAGGAAGTTGCAGAGCTGAGGGCCTGCAGGTAGAACCGTGGCTCAGGCTCCTCTCTGCGGCCGGGCAGCCTCCGTGGTGCTCACCTGGGGAGGCTCCTGCACGTCCTGGAAGAGAACGCGGTTTTGCGGCTCTAAGATGATCAGCGCCCTCGCCCATCTTCTCCGCCAACTGGAGGAAGAAGTGGCTGCGCCCCCGAGAGCCACACCGTCCCCGTGGGAACAGAAGCCCAGAGAGAGGTGGGTGTGGAGGCTGCAGAGGCCGGGCCCACGGTGACCGCAGCCTCCACCTGCTGGGGTGATGCTGACGGATCCGGGAGCTCAGGGTTGTTGGGCAGTGAGGAGTTAAGATAGGAAAACCGGTGTCGGCTGGTCCGGGAGGATGTTCCGCAGGTGGAGACTGGATAAGACGCAGGAGGGGGCCGGAGGCTGGGAGAAGCCTGGAGCAGGAGACAGAGGGGGGCGCCGAGGGCACTGGAAAACGACTATTCTTGTGTTAAATCCTGCAACAGTGGCCAGGAATTTGTTTTTGTTTTTTAAGCAGGAAGTTGCCAGGAAGCGTCATTCTTTTGCTGATTATATCTATTCCTTTAGGACACAAAGTTCTCTTTAATTATTTTTTGGGGGAAGGGACGCCACACTTCTACTCGATTAGGAGAAACCTTTTCACCAGCACAGAGGTCTCCGCTACACTCGCCCCGCCCTGGGGCCGTGGGGAGGGTCCGGGGAACCCAGCACCGTCCTCTGCGGCCTGCTTCCTTTCTGCTCATTTCCCTTCACACGTTTCAGGAAGCGCTCTCGGCTCTTGAGGGCTTAACAGGCTCAACACGGGCACTGACTCCCACGGCCAGAACCTTGCCCTCACCTGCGCGTTCGCGATGCCGTGGCGCGCTGGGTGGCACGCAGCCTCGTCCAGCGTTGCTGTGGGCAGGTCGGTGGGGCCCATTCCCTCGATGTCCGCCGTATCGCCTTCCTTGTAGCTTCGCATGTTCGTGGGCAGAGGAACAGTCCGTGTTTCCTAAAAGGCCTCGGGGACACGGAGCGGTGCCTCTCTCGCCCTCTGTGCTAGACATTTTGGCGGATTACTGGAAGATGGTGGTGATATTTTTTAACCTTTTAAAAATAGAGAAGCCACCTTAGCTCCGGGCCGGACAGAACAGGCGGGGTTGGTGCTGTGGGCGTGGCTTGTGCTGTGGGCGTGGCTGCTGAGCCCCGAGGCTGGTCCTGGAGCCCAGATGCGGCGGGTCAGCCACACCAGCTCAGGGTTTAAACCCACACACCTGCCGGCATGCGCATAGGGTGCCCCTGAGTTCCTTTTCCCTTCGGCTTATGAAGGCGGCAGACCTTTGTGCCTTGACATCCCCTCTGATAGGTCACTATGCCCTTGGACTGGTTACTATAGTAACTCCTGGGTCAAAGGTCAAACCTCACCTGGGACCCGTGAGGCTCTCCCCTCCTCCCTTATTGTTTTCGATCCCTTTGGGCTTCTCCCTCCTCTGAATGACGGCTTCCTTCCACTTAGTGACTTAGACCGGCTGCTCCCAGCCCCTCGTTCTAGGGCATGTGCCCATGGCAGCTCCTCAGCTCCCCTCGTCTAGGGAGATACACCTGCTGCTGTCGGTCCCCTTAATTTCTAAAATGTCCTCAACCTGCCTATTTTACCCCCCAAATTCCTGCTTCAACGAGGCCGGTCTGCTGACTCACCTTAACCAGTTTCATCCGCAAAGATCCTGTTTACAAGTCAGGTCGCCTCCCCAGGGGCCGGGTTTTTTCGGTGGAAACCACTCCAGCCGTAACAGGTGGCCACCAAGCAACACGAGGCAGGAAGGACGGCCATGGCTGCAGGGCTGGTGGGGACGGCAGGGTGAGAGGCCGCAGGGACCCGGGGCAGCTGGGACAGGGTGCGTAGGGGCGGGCAGAGAACAGAACGCTCTTTCAGGAAAGGCATCAGGAGGGGGTGGAGGGAGGGCCGGGCTGGAGAGACCCTTGTCCCTGTGAGCCTCTGGGGACAATGGTTCTTTTACTGGAGAAGCTGGATTGAAAGGGAGACCCTCCCAGTGCGGAGGGCACGGCCAGCCCCTCCTGGGGCCCCTGTTCCCTCTTGCACAGCCTGAGGCGCCTCCACCCTGCAGGGCTGTGCACACCCTCCCCGCTCTGTGCTCCCAGCAAGAGGGGCAGAGAGACGGGCCAGCCCACAATTTTTATTTTATTTTATTTGTTTATTTATTTTTAAAATATATTTCATTGACTTCAGAGAGGAAGGGAGAGGGAGGGAGAGATAGACGCATCAATGATGAGAGAGAATAATGGATCGGCTGCCTCCTGCACGCCCCACACTGGGGATCAAGCCCGCAACCGGGGCCTGTGCCCCGACCAGAATCGAACCCTGACCTCCTGGTTCGTAGGTCGGCGCTCCTCCACTGCGCCACGCCGGCCGGGCCAGCACATGATTTTTAAAAAGTAACTATTTGAATCAAGTAATTGAATAATTAAAAAAATATGTTGCGAAGTCCAGAAAGCTTCGGGGCGCCCGGGGTCCAATTGTGTTCTCTTGGTGGCACCGGTTCAGGTGGGGGCTCTTTAGTGCCATCAGCTGCCGAGTTTGAGGAAACAAGCGGCTCCCTGGCTGGCCCCGTCTTTTCCCAGAGCCCATGGTGACACCTCGACTGGGCGGGTGACGCCCTGACACCGGGCGGTGACGAGGAGCAGGAGGGCCAGGCAGCCCAGCTGTTTCGGAAGCTTCTCCGGTCTGGGGGCCACACCTTCCCCCACGCCTGCATCACCACACCGTCACCCGGCGGAGGGCAGAGGGAGCCACTCGCAGCGGGCATCAGTCACGAAGGCTTGTCTGTGGGGGCGATGTCACAGTCACCCACGCGGCCTAGGCATCTCCTGCAGTGACCACCACCAGCCCGTGGCCCCGACCACGTGCCCCTCAGCCACCCACCGGAGCCCCGACAGGCTTAGTGCTGCGAGGCCCCGTCTGGGATGGGAAGGCGGTGCCTGTCTGCTGGGGAGCACAGACACCCCAACAGGGCCAAGGGCTGGGTGCCGGAGGCGGCCGGGGAAGGAGGGGCAGGGAGGGGCCGTCTTCTGCGAGGCAGTTGCTCCTGCTGGCAGCTTGGCTGGAGGCTCAGCAGGCTGCACCGGCTCCCGGGGGCGGAGTTAGGGGCTGCACCCTCCCCTGTGCGGCTGGGCCCCTCATCTCTGTCCCCAGTGGCTCCTGACGGCCCTTCCTGCCCCCAGGAGGCCACGTTTTCTCTGTTTCCATCGTCACTTCGCATACCAAGGCCTCTGTCTCCTCTCTCCCAGGGCAGCGCCCTTAGCTCGGGCCTGGTTTAGGATGGTCTGAGACACAAGCCGTGTTTATTTTTTCTTTTCACAAGTAAATCGTGGTAAAATACACGCGGTACAGTTTTCACGTGCAGCTCAGTGGCGCGAAGTGCGCTCACCTCCAGGCTCTTCACCTGGTGAAACTCTGCCCCTTAGACACTGACTCCCCGTCCCGCCCCTCCCTCTGCCTCCCGGACAGGACTCCCCCAGGAACCTCACACGGTGGGACTCGCACCTGCAGGAACCTCACAGTGGGACTCGCACCTGCAGGAACCTCACACGGTGGGACTCGCACCTGCAGGAACCTCACAGTGGGACTCGCACCTGCAGGAACCTCACACGGTGGGACTCGCACCTGCAGGAACCTCACAGTGGGACTCGCACCTGCAGGAACCTCACACGGTGGGACTCGCACCTGCAGGAACCTCACAGTGGGACTCGCACCTGCAGGAACCTCACACGGTGGGACTCTCACCTGCAGGAACCCCACACGGTGGGACTCGCACCTGTTCCCCTGGCGTCTGGCTCATTGCAGCCTGAGGCTCATCCGTGTGGTCGCGCGGTCAGGACCCGTGTGCATGTGCCGTGTGGGCACGTTTCGCTTACCCGCTTATCTGCCCATGGACGTTAGGGCGGTTCCTGCTCAGAGGACTTGGTGACTCATCAGATACTTCCTGAGTGTCTGCTGGGCGCAAGGCACGCGGCGCTTCTGGGAAAGGCCCCCAGGGCACAGCGTTTCAGTTGCAGTTTCTGGCTGTTAGGGCGCCTGACACCTCTGTCCCCCGAGGGCCAGGGCCCCCACGGCTGCCCCGGGGCTTCCAGAACCCTCAGCCCCGCTTTCGTGGTTCTTGGTAATAAATACTGCACAGCCCCGGGGGTTGAAGGTCTCCGCAGGCCTGGCATCTTACATCCCTGGTGACGTACCACGCTGAGTGGAGCGCCCCTCTTAAAACGACGTTCCTGATTCAGAGCACAGTGTGCCGTGGCTGCCCAGCCTCCTGCCCTATGAGCCCCCGGCCGGCGGGGGCAGAGGCCCCGGGGCACAGGCTCGCCTTCGCGCTGTGGGCCTGAAGAAGGTCTCATTTCTCTGTGACTGTTTTCACCAGGGACCATGGTCGGCCGAGGACCCACTTGCTCAGCGGTATTCCAGGTGGTTCTGAATGAGGTGTTTGCCCTACAGCAGGGGTGGGAGCCTTTTTTTCTGCCAAGGGCCATTTGGATGTTTGTTTATTTATTTTAAATATATTCTTATTGATTTCAGAGAGGAAGGGAGAGGGAGAGAAAGATAGAAACATCAATGATGAGAGAATCATTGGTCAGCTGCCTCCTGCACGCCCCCCACTGGGGATGGAGCCTGCAACCCGCGCCTGTGCCCTGACCGGGAATCAAACCGTGACCTCCTGGTTCATAGGTCGATGCTCAGTCCCTGAGCCATGCCGGCCGGGCCCTGTTACCTTTTAAACATTGGTTTGTTTTTAGTGGTGCCATCATCGCGGCCACTATTAGGGTTTTTAGGCAAAAATGAGCAGTAAGTGACATCAGTTTCGACACAGTCTGCTCCCCAATCTGGGCCAGTGTCTGGTTTTGCACGGCCCATGAGCTAGGAATGAGTTTATATTTCACATGTTTTGAAAAACAGTCAAAAGAAGAATATTTCATAATGTGTGAAAGCAACAGGAGATGCGACTGCCTGAGTGCATGATGCAGCTTTAGTGGAGCCTCCACGCTCGTTTGCTCGTCTGTGGCTGCTTTCCCGCCACAGCACCAACGTGGCGGAGCTGCGATAGGCTGGGTGGCTCCCAAACTCAAAAATCCTCCGTCTGGCTCCGTACAGGTTTCTAAATTATATTTGTATTGATTTCAGAGAGGAAGGGAGAGGGAGAGAGAGAAACGTTAATGAGGAGAGAATCATTGATTGGCCGCCTCCTGCACGCCCCTACTGGGGGTCAAGCCTGCAACCGCCTGACTGGGGATCGAGCCGTGACCTCCTGATTCATAGGTCGACCCTCAACTGCTGAGCCATGCTGGCTGGGCAGTCTGGCTCCTTACACACCCCTGCCTAGACCCCTGGCCCCAGCCGTGTTCTTATGATGGTCTGTGGGGGCCATGTCTCCTGTTCCAGCAGCAGCTGGGACAAGCTCACTGTCCCAAAGGGCCCCACCCTCCACCCCAAGCACAGCTCTCATTCCCTCACTGCTCCCAAGTCCAGTGGGCGGAGGAGAGCAAAGCCTTCCATCATCTTTGCAGGCAGGTGCTACGCGTATGGCAAATGAATGGGGAAAGACATTCAGACTAAAGTGTGAATGTCTAATAGGCCTGCCTTTGTTCTTTCACGCATTGGATGCACCGACATTTTCCAAGGCAATTGCCCTCAGAACGTATCATCTTTTAGGGGCTGTCACCAAGTCCCCACAGCAGACTAGGAGCCAGTCGCCCGGGGCCGACTTTTCATTCATCCCTCGTCTGTAAAACACGGAGGGGAGCCAAGTGCGTCTGCAGTTTAATTTGCCGACGATGCGGAAACAGAACTCCGAGGAGCTGTGAGTAAATGCAAATCCAACTTCCCTCGGCTCACAATTTGCTGAAGTTTCCAAAATCACTGGAGTGAGAGGCCGTCGAGCGCGGCAGCCCGCGGTGCATGCTTGGCCCGCGAGGGGAGACGTGTTAGCCGCACGGTTTTACAATTCCAGGCAAGTGTGGTCATCTCTTCCTGCTCCCAGCGTTCACCGCGGAAGCCACAGCTCACTCTCGCCCGAGCAGTCACTGAGCAAACTGATGACATAACACCGTTCAGAGGGCTGCCTGACTGTCGCGGGGCAGCCGTCTGCAGATGCCGCCGGAGCGCAGGGAGGCCGGGCAGGCCCCGCAGCTCAGCGCCTCCACCACCCAGGCAGCCCGCCAGGCAGCCCCGCAGGCTGCTGGGAGGCCTGCAACAAGCAACACCAGAAAGCGCTTCCCAGGCTGTCACTCCTGGAA